CACCTCACCCTCACCCCCCTTACCCCCACCAGCGTGCTCAAGAAGAACCCCGAGCTGGTGGAGGAGTTTGCTGACAAGGCGGCCGACCTGCTGCACGACAAGAACCAGGCCGTACTGCTGGCTGGGGTGACGCTCATGCTGGCCATCACGGGCGTCGACCAGGGGATTGTGGAGAAGTATAGGTGGGCTTGAGGCAGGGGTCGGGGCAGCGTGGGCTTGGTCGAACCGTCTTGGAGCGTTGTTGATGAGATACTCCTTGTCGAGGGTAGTGAAGAGCAGGGAAGGAAAAGCTGTAGTGCATGCTCGCAATGCCGAGGTCTGCTGCAAGCACCGCGGTCGGCCGCCGCGCTGCAGCTCAGCCTGGCCTGCCCTTGCATGAGCGCTGGCACGAATGCACGCGCCCCGAGCAGCATGCAAACTCGCGCCGTCCTCCCCCTGTCCCCCGCCCTTTGCCTCAGGGGCCACGTCCCGCTGCTGTGCAAGGTACTACGCGGGCTGCTGCAGGGCGGCTTCTCCCCCGAGCACGACGTGGGCGGCATCACCAACCCCTTTCTGCAGGTCAGGATCCTGCAGCTGCTGCACGTCCTGGGTGAGTACGGGGAGGGGAGGGGGAGGGCGGAGCGACACGGGGGTCTGGGAAAAGAAGGTGTGGGCTGCTGCGCTTGCTACGGTGGCGCGCGCGTGCATGTGCGCGCGCGCGCACACACACACGCACACACACACACACACACACACACACACACACACACACACACACACATACACACACACGCGCGCGCGCGCACGCGCGCGCGCATGCGCGAGAGCTTGCGCGTGTGTGTACAAACGCGCATGCACACGCACGCACCCTACCCTGAGCTGCGGGCTGCCAAGTGGATGCATTTCTGCTCGCCTGCGTGGCGGGGGGCAGGGCCGGGGCGTCTCGGGGCGCTCGAGGAAGCGGGGGCGCGCCGCGCCTGCGCGGGATGGGGTCGGGGCGGCAACAGGCGCGTCGCAGGTGGCCCGCTTTTGTCGTGCGCCGCCGGAGCGTTGGCGCGCTCTGGCTGTCCCTGACCTTGCGGATGTCATTTGTGCTCCCGCAGGCCGCGGCAACGCTGAGGCCAGCGACCAGATGACCGACATCCTGGCGCAGGTGTGGGGCGGGGGTGGGGGGGTGTCAGGCCTTCTCAGACAGGGGTGTGGGTGCCGTTGAGGGTGTCCCTGCGGGTGCCGTCCTGCGTGATCGGGGTGGCCAAGCTCAACACGTTGGATCATTGAGCCATTCCCTACCGACCACCGCAGGCAAGCTGCTTCCTCCACCCCTTGCGCCACGCCCTTCCCACGCTGCTGTCTGGGATCCACTGCAACGGCCTGTGCCCCACCCCCCTGTAAACTCTCCCCCCGTCACCCGCACAGGTGGCGGCGAATGTGGAGGGCAACCGCAACGCCGGCAACGCCATCCTCTACGAGGCCGTCAACACCATTATGGGTGGGCGGCCGAACTGCGACGCGCGCGCCCCGCGCAGGCGGGCGCCTGGGGCACGCTCAGGGAACGGTCAGGGGACAGCGCCCTGTGCTCGCCAGGCACAGGCCCTTTGGGCACGGCGGCCGCCTCGCTCGATTGACAAGCCCACCTCACTGCCACGGACAGTCGCTCCCACCTCACATCTCCTCTCCTTCCCGTCGGCCCCACACACATCGCCCCCTCCCCAATTGCCCAGGCATCGAGACCATTGGCGGCCTGCGCGTGATGGCGGTGAACATCCTGGGCCGCTTCCTTGCCAACCGCGACAACAACATACGATACGTCGCACTCAACACCCTCGCAAAGGCGAGCAACCCTTGGACTCATGGGGCCCCCGCCTCGCCGTGACGGCGGCTGAGGGCGCGCCGCGTGGCGCTTCGTGCACCGTGTGCGCAGTGGACCGCCACAACATTCTCTCTCACCGGCCGATCTGAGCACAATCCACCCCCTTGGGTCTCAAACACCTTCAGACGCATCTTCACACACTATGAAAAAATACCCATGCACGTAACCTGCACCGTGCACATACTCTAAACACACACACGCGCACCACAGCATCACAAAACGCACAGGCACACACCAGCACACACACACACACACGCACACACACACACACACACACACTCCCCCCAGGTCGTGGCTGTGGACAAGGCCGCGGTGCAGCGCCACCGCGCGACCATCGTGGACTGCGTGAAGGACGCAGACGTCTCCATCCGCCGCCGCGCGCTGGAGCTCGTCTACGCACTGGTCAACGAGTCAAACATACGCCCGCTCACGCGCGAGCTGCTGGACTACCTCGCGGTCTGCGACCCTGAGTTCAGGCCCGACCTCACGGCCAAGGTCGCGAGCCTGGTGCAGCGGTACGCGCCGGACAAGCGGTGGCACATAGACCAGCTCGTCGCCGTCATGAGCCAGGCGGGAACGCTGGTGAAGGAGCCCGTGGTGCGGGCCCTGGTGGTGCTCATCACCAACGCGCCGGAGCTGCACCCCTACGCGGCGCGCGCCGCCGTGCGCGCGCTGCAGCGCACGGGCGCGGCGGCCGAGCCGGCGCTGCTGACGTGGGCGCTGTGGACGGTCGGGGAATTCGGGGAGGCGCTGCCGGGGCCGGGCTCTGCGGGGGGGCTGCTGGAGGGGGAGCGGCCGCTGCCGCTGGGTGAGGGGGACGTGGTGGGGCTGGTGGAGACGGCGCTGCGGCGGCCCAAGGCGCCGGCGGCGGTGCGGGAGGTGGCGCTGACGGCGCTGGCCAAGCTCAGCGCGCGGCTGCCGGGGCAGGTGGGAATCACACTGTGTGTGCTTGTGCGCACGTGTGTGTCTATGTGTAGGTATGTTTGGATATGTACGTGTGTGTGTGTGTGTGTGTGTGTGTGTGTGTGTGTGTTTGTGCATATGTTAGTGCAGGCTGTGTGCATCATCACGCGCTGCGGGCTGATAGGGCGCCGCACTTGTCCGCCGCCCGCCTCTCGCCGAATTGCAGCCCTCCAGCCCCCCTCAATTGTTGCGCGTACCTCCAGCATGCACCTGCGCCAGACTTGATTACTATTGGTCCGTCGAACGCACCCCCTGCTCTCCCGTCTCTTCCACCCCCTCGCACGAACACACACACACACACACGCGCGCGCGCGCGCGCGTGCGCGCACGCACACACACACACGCACGCACACACGCACACACACACACACACGCACACACGCACACACACACACACACACACACGCACACACCACCAGGTCGAGCGCATCCGCGCGCTGATCGAGCGCTACCGCGGCAGCTCCCTCCTGGAGGTCCAGGCCCGCAGCTGCGAGTACGCCCGCATCTTTGGCCACGACGCGCTGCGCCCAGAGCTGCTGGAGCGCATGCCCGCGCTGGACGAGGCGGAGTACGCGCGAGACATGGGCGCGGGCACCATGGCGGCCGGCCTGCCGTCGGGGGCGGCGCCGGCGGGCGGCGGCGGGGGGGACCTGTTGGGGGTGGAGGACGCAGGTGCGGGCGGCGGCGGCGCGGCGGCGGGGCCCGCAGGGGACGACTTGGTGGACTTGTTGGGCGGCCTCGACGCGGCCGCGGCGGCGGTGCGCGGGTCGACGTCGGGGGGCGGCGGCGCGGCGGGGGGCGCGGGCGGCGGCGGCTTGGGGTTGGACGACTTGCTGGGCGGCGGCGGCGGCGGCGGGGGCGATGTGGGCGGCGGCGCGGCGGCGGCGGCGGG